CAGCTGTGCAGATCAAGGAAAACTCTACTGCGGGTGAAAAGTGAGAAGGTAGAATATGTGAAAAAATTAATAGACCTTGAAAGGTTGTTCTTCTCTTTATTTACTTCTTCCTTGTTTTAAGGTTAATAGACAGTCCTTAATTTTAAAATTTATATAAGTCCAACAGGAGATTTTACAGTAGAAATCTCGGCTTTACATATGGTCCGGTTTACGACGTCCCAATGTTTTCGTAAAATTTATTTATTTATTTATTTATTTATTTATTGTTGTTGTTGTTGTTGTTTAATAATAATAATAATAATAATAATAATAATAATAATAATAATAATAATAATAATAAAGTTGGAAGGGACCTTGGAGGTCATCTAGTCCAACCCCCTGCTCAGGCAGGAAACCCTATACCATTTTAGACAAATGGCTGTCCAGTCTCTTCTTAAAAACTTCCAGTGTTGGAGCATTCACCACTTCTGGAGGCAGGTTGTTCCACTGGTTAATTGTTCTCACTGCCAGGAAGTTTCTCCTTAGTTCTAGGTTGCTTCTCTCCTTGATTAGTTTCCATCCGTTGCTTCGTGTCCTGCCTTCAGGCACCTTGGAAAATAGCTTGACTCCCTCTTCTTTGTGGCAGCCCCTGAGATATTGGAACACTGTTATCATGTCCCCCCTCGTCCTTCTCTTCATTAAACTAGACATACCCAATTCCAGCAGCCTTTCCTTATATGCTTTAGCCTCCAGTCCCCTAATCATCTTTGTTGCTCTTCTCTGTACTCTTTCCAAAGTCTCAACATCTTTTTTACATCGTGGTGACCAAAACTGGATGCAGTATTCCAAGTGTGGCCTTACCAAGGCATTGTAAAGTGGTATTAATACTTCACGTAATAATAAAATAACCAGAGTATTCCCAGATATTATACTCTCAAGGACCAAAAAGAGCAACCAGGTGCTAATTTTTTATTCTGGATGAAGAACCCCTAAACTTTAAAAAAAAATTGGGAGAATGTCTACTATGTATTATTTTACTTATAAAATGTACAAAATAGAATTACAGGGACCTTAGAGGTCCTCTAATGAACTTCTTGCCCTGTACAGTGCCTTCATACCATCCAGACAAATGGCTGTCCAATTTTTTCTTGAAAACTTAAATTGATGGAGACGCATGACCTAAGGAAAAAGACTGTTTCGTGTTTTTAATAGCTCTCCCATAAATTCGTCTTTATTTAAAGTTTCCTAACTGTTCATTGCAAAAATCTTATGAAGTCGTATCTCACCAGTTATTAGGTCCTTGCTTGATAGCCAAGAACATTCATTCCAAAGAGCACCAAATGAAGTGCATTAAGAATAGGCAGATTTGTATAACACAAAATCTCAATTTTGGGTTGAGTGGATGCTTTATCAAGTATAGTAAACTGCATATCTGAATACCAGGAAGAAAATGGGGTAAAGAAAAAAGTGAAGGTTTCAGCTTGGAAGTGGTTGTTAGAAGTTAGAATGGGTAAAAATATTGCTACATAAAATCATGACAAACCAAGAGGAGCCCTGGATCAACCTTATATGAAATAATGATGCTGATTGTTGAGGTGAAGAGAATGAATGGACAACAGTGATAACGGCAACATAGGCTGTGATAGTTGATGCAACCTGAACAGTACTGTAAAAAGAAACTATGGAGAGAGTTGGAATTATATGATTTTTAAAAAGCAGACCATTAAAAATTATTGTAATAGCCAAATGTTATTCTGAGAATTATGTTTTTTTAAGGATAGAAATGCTCCACAACTAATCGATTTTTCCAGTAGGAACTCTATCTTGGGTCAAATCAAGGAATTCTCGTGTGGTTTTTCTAGTTGGAAAGTGACTCAGAATTGGAGAAATATGATTTGATGCTCTTGGATGACTATTTAGTTTGCTTGAGTGGTTAAGGCACCAGGCTAGAAAGCCAGAGACTGTGAGTTCTAGTCCTGCCTTAGCCATGAAAGCCAGCTGGGTGATCTTGGGCCACTCACTCTCTCTCGACCACTTCACAGGTGGTGGTTGTGGGAAAAATAGGAGGAGGAAGGTATGATGGATATGTTTGCTGTCATAAGTTATTTGTAAAAAGTCATAAAGATGGACTACATACAAATAAACCAACAAATAAGCGATAGAGTGTACAAATAAAGAAAATGTTGTGTTATAACTTCTTGTGAAATGAAAGTTTCAGCAACATTGAAACCAATGTTCTAGTTGCAGAAATGACAGCAGCAATATTTCCGGAATAAGTATTATTTGACATGTAGGGAGATTATTAATCTTATTTTTCAAGGCAAAGTACAATTTTATTTTTCTTATGAAACTCTCAATGGCACCTAATAATCTTACTTCCCCTGCCCATGAGTCATTTTGTACAATATACTTGATATTCAAGTTTTAGATTTATTATTTTTGGCAGCTACTACTGCATAAAGCATTCATCTTACTTTAAAATTATCAAGCTGAGCCACTAATCATAATCTATCCACCCAGAAGAATAAATAATGTGGTATCCATAGAAATACATAATGTAAATCAGTTTAAATTCCCAAATTCAATTCATAAAGATCTCTGTTGCTATAAACCTATGCATTTTGGTGAGACTTTCTCTCTTCATAGGTATTTGTGTGCAGAATTATAACTTTCTTTTTAAGATTTATTAGGTAGTTTGATATTTTTTTTTGCTTCCCAAGACCTAGCATTCTATAAGTGATAAACATAACAGTATGTATTTCTTTTAACATGAATTTAGTTTTTCATGTATTCTGTGTGCTTGCTGATATTAACAGGCTTTTCGATATTACATATACAGTATTAAAATGAAGGATTATAGCTAAAAATCCTCCTTTTTTGCTGCTTAGCTTTTTATTAATTAATGTAAAAACAAGCTTCTTTAAATAGTTAACTCAAACTTGCCAGTGATTATATAGTCAGTTCCTGGTGTGTGATAAAATGGTTTCAAGAGATTAAGAGGGTGTTCCAAATCACGACATTGCCTAAAAATGAAATCACTTAAATCACTTCTACCATACAATAATTCTGTTAGGGCACATAGACATGGAAAGAAGGTCCCCAGCTTCATACTCTTTCAAGAGGCCCTGAAGACATGGTTTTGCCAGTGGTCCTGGGGACCCCAGAGTGACACGAAGCCAATCAAGTGGTTTGTTTGATTGTTGTTGTGTATGTGTGTGTTTGTGGGGGGGTGTTATTGAGTTTTGTATTTGGGGTTTTACTTCTGTAAGCCACCTGGAATCACCATGAGTTGGTTGGGTGGCCATATAAATTTTCTTAATAGATAAAGTAGGACAACTGGTGAAAGAAATCAAAGCTCACCCCTTACTCCACTAAGCAGATTAATTCCACTGTTGCCAGGAATCATCTAGCTGATAGTACATCAGCTCTGATGAGTGTCTAGGGATTCTCAGAGTTGGAAAGTGAAGATTAAATGACATACTCTTAGATATGTTGTGTGCACCAAGGGGTTGTGCTCCCTCAGATTGTCATACTATATTTATCTGTTGAATTCTTCTGGCAGGCCATAGTGGAAATTCAGAAAACTACGTTCAGCTGCTTTGTATGCTACTTAATGCTGCATTATCAGAAAGTAATCATACATGTTTTTCTTAAAAAATCATTTACATGGACTACTCAGAGTTGGGTTGAAATCCCATATTGGGAGATATTCTCCACTAGATTACAGGATCATGTAAAACTGGGGGCAAAACCAAACCTGTCTCTTCACATAGTTTTGTCAGTGGAAACCGCTTTTATTAATGTAGTCCGGCCTTTCATGCTGTGCTTTATTGCCTCTCTTTTTACATTTCTATGGAAAACTTTTAATTAAAAAAGAATTTTACAACTTGATGTGGGTCACTCATCATTTAAGGAGCAGCAGGGACAATTCAGACCTGCCACCTAAATGCAACAATTGGTAGTTTAAGGGTTAACAAGCTGATCTAGATAAGAACCTTTATTTTTTTGATGGTTGGTTTGTCTTATGACTGAGATGAGGTGGATATCCTATCCTGAACTGAGTCACACCCTGCATGAAAAGTTTCCAAGAAGATAATTGTTCTCCAAAATAGTTCCTGATCTATTACAGATGTGCTCTAGGAAATACTGATTTCTGTCTTAGTTTTTGGTATATGTGAAAATGGCGTTTTAAAAAAGCCATTTAATCAAATTCTCAGTAAATGTGTTCTAAATATAAACACAGAATTCATTCTCTTGGGGTTTTTTTTTATAATTATAGTAATATCTGCTTGCATTTTACTTTGCATAATTTAGAGAAATGTGTATACATTGTATGGTAGTTAATATTCCCTTTGTGTGGTAAGAAATATGCTCTAATCCCAGTGAGATAAATATTGGTGTCAATTATATTAATATTAAACCTTTTAAAAATACATTAAGATGACTGACAAAATACTGCTTCTCAATGGCAGTATCGGTCCTTTGGAATGGCATCCCAATGGAGATGAGGTTGACTTCCAACTTTATTGTTTTCCAGAAACAGCTCAAAATAAAGTTCTTCCAGAGGGCATTTAGATTTTGATGTCGTCTTGGCTGAGATTTATAGACTGATTCTTGTTGGGACTTGTGTTTATACATCCTGAAACATTTCAATTTTAATTTGATTGTGGATTGTGTCATTATATCTTTTATCTTTGTGAACTGCCAAGAGTCCTTTAGGATTTCAGTGGGATCTATGGACAGATAGAGTGACAGATAGACATTATGTACGCATGTATTGATGGTTGGATGCATGCATAGGCAGAAAGAATATCTCTCTCTCTCTCTCTCTCTCTCTCTCTCTCTCTCTCTCTCTCTCTCTCTGTGTGTGTGTGTGTGTGTGTGTGTGTGTGTGTGTGTGTGTGTGTGTGTGTGTCGATGGGGAGGGACAGACAAATAGCGCAACTGTATATTACACTGCAAATAAATGTCTTTGTCTTTGTCAAGAAATGCCAGGCAACTACAATTTGCAATTGTTTCAGATCCCCTGCAGTTTGGAATACTGGGATGAGCTCCAGAAGACATTTGTTGCTTTCAGAGAGTTCAGCTTATCAGAAAGCAAAGTTTGTGAGTTGTCCCTGCCAAGCATCAACTTAATAACTGATCCAAAAGAGCTTGTAGCTTCAGATCTTTGGAGAATTGTTCTGAACAGCAACCAGAATTCGGGGGATGACCAAAGGTAAATACAGCATTGATTATGAAACAGTAATTTATTTCACCAAGACAGATCTTGCTATTTTTTTAACCAAAAGCTAGAACACTGAAACAGACAAGAACACATGACTCTTCAAACAATTTATTATTTGCTGAAAGAAATCTTACTGAAATAGATGACTGAAACACCACGTTACACAGGTCTAGATTTGCAGGTCTAGAAAAATGCTAAAATTATCCAAACCTTCCACTGGGTAACCTGGTTAGTCAGGATATAAATAAGGTAAATCTTGGATCCAAGAAGTCCCCACCTGTCTTTAACTGGCATGATCACAAAGAGATTGAAAGCTTTTTTTAAAAAATAAATCATAGTATTACATCTGAATCCCAAGCTATAGTTATTTTTAACTTTATTTTGTTGAGATAGGTCCAGGACGTAGCCCACTGTATTTACTTGGCCACGTTTCTAAGAAATTATCAAGATTGACTACAATATATTGAATTCAAATAATAAAATAGAACAAAATGTTTGTAAATTTATGTTTGTGTTCAAGGTGAAGAATTTGTTTCTGTTACATTCTGTCCCCTCAGCAATCTGATGAAGTTAATTCAATCAAACAGACAATAATTGACTCAGGTTCATCTGGGGTCATCTGTAAAAACTTCATGGCTAAGTGAGAATAGAACCCATTCTTTCTTGACTCTAGTCCAGGGGTAGGCAACCTTGGCTCTTTTATGGCTCGTGGACTTCAACTCCCAGAATTCCTGAGCCAGCCATGCTGGCTCAGGAATTCTGGGAGTTGAAGTCCACGAGCCATAAAAGAGCCAAGGTTGCCTACCCCTGCTCTAGTCCAACATTTTAAGAATACCTTACTCTCTCGCCTTTTTTTTAAAATTAAATGACTAGAGTATGTCCTAGAAAACAATTCAGGCCCAGATTTGGAGAATATTGGCTAAGAAAAGTGTATTTAACTTAAATGGAACATAATATATTCTCGTTACAATGCTGTTTTTTAAATAAGTGTTCCAAATTAATAGTGTTTAATAATGACCACATTATTGGGGCCCCGATCCTCAAAGATGCTGCTGTTTTAGAACACAATTCAGTATATTAGAATATTATTTTTGTTTTTCCTCACCTCTCTTCCCCAGTTCAGAAAGTGAATCGGGTTCCCAAAGTGCATCGGAACAGTTTGTGACTCCTACCGCCCTAGCAGCCTGTACTAGGGTAGATTCATGCTTCACTCCCTGGTACGTGCCTGCCCTGGGACTTTCCATTCAGTTTGCTCATGCCGAACTTCATCTTTGCCACCATCTGGATCAGCTGGGCAGAGGTATGTATCTTAAATTCTGAAACAGAAATCTGTAGCTATTGCTTTTCCGTTTACTCATCGCCTCACCTGCTTTACATTTGCAGTTCTTTTGTCCACTGGACCATATGCTCAAATAGCTTGCACCCACTTATCAGTAGCAGGAATGTGTAAAAAGCAGATGTATTTGAAGGCAGTAATTGCAGAAGGTGCTTCAGTTTTTAAGCTTCAGTAGTGGGCCCAAATACTCCCCTCCCTTCACTTTATTGTGAGGCTAATGGAATAAATTTTGCTTTTCACTTTTGCCAGAAAACCTGCCCCACTTTATATGTGCTGTTGAACAAAAAGTCTCCAAAGGAAGTACCAAGTACTCAAAACTCAGATACAGTATTGTTTTAAAAGGAAATTGGTAGTAAGAGATGCGATCCACCTGGGTTCATTCAGTAATGTGTGCTTGCATTATTGTCAGTTTTATTTCCAATAACATTGTTATATTGTCTAATTTCAAATAGTATTCTCAATGAGAAATGAGCAAATATTTTAAGCAATTTCTAAAGCATGACATCTTGCTTAAATGATGGTTTTGAAAGTGGTGAATGACTAACATTTTCTTCAAGCTTTCCAAGTTTCCCCATTATTAATTAATATTTTTAGCACTTCAAATGACAGTGAAAAGAACAAAAGAACCCTGAATCAGGCAGAGGTCCTTCAAAAAATTCATTTTTTTTCTTTTTTAGAACCTTTTTTTTTAAACTAAGCTTTCTTAATTGCTGTTTTCTTACCTAACTTAGTCACAGTGGAACAATTACCGTAAATGTATGCAACTGGGACTATTGTAGATAAACTATGTCAAGTATTGTTTTCTGGGATAATTATTTTCTGCAAATTCAAAGTAATGTATTCTGTAATTTTGGTTTGCACTTATTTTTTAAAAAAAAAAAATCTGCAAGAGGATTGTATGTATGCTTGTGATAGCCTTGGCTTTTTATATCTTTTTGATAATTGACTATATTTTCAATAGTCATATTTTCTATTTCCCTTTTGGGCTCATCAGGAGCTGATCTCTACCTACATCAATGATTACATTTATTTCAACTTACAAATTAACACTGTATCTGAACATACAGTCCTGAATGAGTATCCTCTCTCTTCTCCTAATATTTTGAGATTTTTTTTTGAGATTTTATTAAATTTATACCCCGCCCTTCTCCCGGAGGACTCAGGGCGGCTTACAGCCAGTTTAAAACAGTGATACAATACAAAATTTAAAAAGATTTAAAATAACTATTTAAATTTGGCCGCTTCTACTAAAAATTTAATTTAAAACCCCTTTAAAATATCAATTTTGATTTCTAATTTCTGTTCGGATTTGAAGGACTTTTGCTGTTTAGTTCTTGGTAGCTCTGGTTGTTTATTGTTTCTCCGTTTTATTAGCAATGCTGTTGTTCTCACTATCACCTTTGCAATAGCAGCTTATAGTTACTAGTTAGTGCACTGCAGGGGCAGACAAATTAATGCTTTCCAGAGATTTGGGATATACCAGCCACTGTTGCTGGTCATGTGGCTGGAGGACAAGGCTGACATCCTATGTCTGGGGAGTACCATGGTGCCTACTACATTCCTAATACCATTTAATATATGCCTTAGCATATTAACTTTTGCACAACACACAGCTTCTTTTATTTGTTGATATTATAGTTCTAAACACAAAGAGGCATGCAAAAGGTCTCTCTTCCACCCAAACTCTGACTAAAGGTCAGGTTATGTATTATAAGACTACTCTTTCTTATGGCTTTAGGTTTTATCTTGGGACTTCAAAGGCTAATTTTACCTTTCACAAATAGGGACACCAACTCCCAGAATTTTTAGTAATGTCCAGGTTGCTTAGGATTCTGAGAACTGAACCCATGTATCTCAGTGGCACTCAAGTGGGCAGAGCCTTTCCAAAAAGCTTTTGAAAAATAGAGTTCAGTTAACCTTGCAGAAAAGATGTGTAATGGTTATATTGTAACTTAGAATGAAATAAGTCATAGACTTATATTGTATGATTCCAGAATTTGAATATAAGCACATTTTAATAGAAATGCTGCTGATAGCAATAAACTTTCAGTGGAGAAAATATTGTTTTTTTAATATTTTTCAGTTTACATGTCATGTTTGTGATTACTTAACTATGCTTAAATAATACCTAGAATTTTTGTTTTGATTTTATCTAGAAAAATATAGTTTGGTCATTCCCGGCATATTTTTCTTCTGCATATGTTCATTCCTAGTTTTATATCTGCAACATTATATTAAGTATTAGTGATTTATTTTTACCTTTTCTTCTACAGGACCACCAAAGTTCCTACATCCATTTATATCTGATAAAAATGTGCCATCTGAATTAGAATATTCAATCATCTCTTTTGAAGAACCTCATACCTATTTCAGGCAATGGAGTGATGGATCTGTCTTCAGAGACATGCAGTTATCCACTAGAATTGACTGTAAACTTTTGGAGTGTAGAAATCTAACTAAGCAAACTGTTGCAAAACCATTTGGTATATTTGGGCAGCTTTCTGTTTCTGGAAATTCCATGGAAAAGATTTTGGATGGAAATATGGTAGTGGATCCTGTATTCATCAGCTTTGGCCAACATACCATCCACTCTCTGCATAAAACCCTTCAGGCTTGGCAACAGGTAAGCAAATAGACCTGAAATGAAAAGGTTAAACAGATATCATCTCAAGATTCCTAAGAGTGAAGAAGTATCAGAAGCTTTGTAGAGTGAAGGGACTGAAATAGGAATGGTAAACCGGCCTCAGGTCCTTTTTGTTGTGTTATGCATTTTACTGAAAATGAAACAAGAGCAAGTGAAATGCATAAAACCTATTTACATATCATCATTTGGTGTTGTATGAGCATGATTGGTAAATGTATGGATTGGGTTGTGGGTTATTTTTGTTTGCTCTTATATGGGGAAGAAAATTTATTTATTTAACAAATTTCTACACTGCTCATCTCACTTAAGTAAAATGAACGAAAGGTTGCTGAATGAATGTGAATTGAATACAAAAGTGCTATAGAGAAAATGAATGAGGATTGAATTGCAAAAGATACATATGAAGAAATATGAATGGGCTGGGAGGAAAGACTAGAGGTAGTAGTTGTAGTTGGGTGGAGTTGATGAGGTCCTCAAATAGAAAGAGAGAAGTTTAAGGAACAAAAGGAAATGTATGAATTCATATAAAGATAGAGTAGAAACAAGACTGGGTTTGTAAGGATAGAAAGGTATGAAAAGTTACAGTGATTGGTGTTTGCATAAATTAAATTTTGCAATATCTCTTTTTCTCTCCTGTTTTTTTGCATATTCCCTAAAATGAATATTATGACTCTGTGGATGGAATCTTATTTCCCATTTAGCAGAAACCAGAGATTATATGGTTTTTGCCATTATACCCAGGCCAGTAAGCTAAGGTTTTCTTTACGTTTGAAATCCAAGCAGTGATCTGAATGTGGCTTCTCCAGTTTGGAGCATAAGCAAAAATCATAATTTGAAGGTTCAGATCTAACCTTGTAATGCAATTTTGTGCTTATCATGAAGTAATTAACTGAAACTGAAGGTACATATTCAAAGAGGGCAAAGATAAGGAAAAGATATGTGAGTTCATAGCTGGAGAACAGATTTCCAGGGTGTGTTAGTCACTGAGTGACTTTGGAAGGGTGCAGATGTAGCAAATGCCAAGGAAATGGTCAATTTTCAGTGTGAAAACACTTGAGATCAAAAGTGCTCTTTTCCTCTTTAAATCCAAGTCTGAATGGGCCAGAAGACACCCTGGCTCCACTATTTTCTGGATGCAGCAGTTATGTAAGCAGGATATACAGCATCTAAGCTGATTCACAGAGAAATTGATGCAGGGGCTATAATAATGAGTTTTGCCCTGACAGAGAGTAGCTATCTTAGGCAGACCAAAACCTCTGAAGAATACTTGGCAGAAGCTACAGCAAGTATATCCTGTTAGTTTTATTATCCATTTTGGCAATAATAAATTAAACAATTATGGCAGGAAAGAGTATTGTATACTAAAATTCTTACTACTGTACCATTGAAAAGACATCAAGATTTAATGGACCAGTTTGGATGGATTTAAACTTGTGTAAATGAGATTGGAATATAACTTGAGGAATAATTGTAATATCAAGTATTTCTCACATAATAATAACCAAATAGGCACTAAAATCTACTAAGGTCCAATCTACATAACATAGAAAAATATTCATAAGTTCTTTCCTTTTAGTTCATAACCAGGCATAACCAGAGAACGCTGAATGTTTCACCCAGTCCCTCCAAGTAATATCATGGCTTAAAGTTAGACTTTTCCCTAGTTTCTTGTTTATCCTGTTGAATGAAAAAAAAGAATCTGGCACATATCTTCCCTGTTACTCTAATGAAGGTTTTTGCCACAACTGATATGAGGTTCTATACATCCAAAACCGATGGCTCAAATTAATAAAAGTATGTACAAACAATATTTTCTGCAATTATCCAAATAATCTCATCCCAGGATTTCTCTTTAGCAATCTCCATACCTATACAAAGTTTTCTGCATTAATTACCCATCACAAAACTACAATAGCAAAGCTAAAAAAGATAAAACATCTGTTTCGCATCAGAGTTTCTTTTTTCAAGGCATTCCAGGATTTTCTTATTGTAAAAGGACATTCATAAAATAAGAGCTAGTGTGATTTAAATCTTTACATCTGGTTCAAATATCACTGTGAAAAAAGAGTCTTTGTAGCTCCAATTTCTGCTTTTTGTCATATTTTGAGCAATGTGCTTAACAGAAAACAAGCAAACAATTTTGAAGGAGGCCTGTTTGCATGGGCTGGTGGAGGAGTAACTACTGCAAAATGGCCTTCGTTACTTTCATGCAGTGAAAAAAGTCTCTCTAGTATCACATATGTGCAAACAAAGTGCATTGTATAAATATTTAAATGTGTAAGACCACATCAGAAAATGATTGACTGACTTAAACTATAGGGAGTCTTTAAAGAAATACCCTGAGTTGGAAACAACAGGATTGTATAAGTAGAGCCATATGTTGCCTTGCAAGATGTTCCAGTCAGGTAAATTCTATGAATAGTTAGACCTGATTTATATGCAGGGGTGGCAATGTTCAAATGACCCACAGAGGATATGCCTCTGTAATTGTTGTTGCAATTTCCTTGTTTCCTCTCATCTCGGGAGTTTTTGCCACCATCTTCTGATGTGGTGGGTGAGTCTCTAGCCGAGAGTGTCCTTGATTAAAAACTCAGCCTATTTTTACATTAGGGTGCATTAGTTATTGAGGTGGGCTCTGAACTACATATTAATGTTAATTGGTAACAACATGTTTCTTCAGTGGGTTCTCTTCTACCACATACTGAAAATTAACTTCCCACTAGTAAGTATTTTGTGATGTTCAGTGTTCATAATTAACATGGTATTCTGCCAGACCAAATCAAGAGCACCATCATTAATTGAATTCCTCACATTTTCTAACCAAGTATCAGAAACAACTAATTTTGTACACATTGCGGATAAGAGCTGACATACAAAGCATAAAGTAATTTGGCCTTACACCTTTAGGTCAGGAGTTCAAGATAAATGGAAGCCTTTGTTGGAATTTGTTTTTCCCAAAAGGTGAACTCATTTTATTCTTAAATAATGATGGAAGCTTTAACAATAGAAGTAGGCATTACAGCATCACCAGGCTATGTGCTTTTATGATCCCAGGTCATCTGTTCAATTCCTAAGATGGTAGAACTTTTTTTTTCTTTTAAAAGCAGTGATTTCCTTCTGTAAGCAATTGCTTTTATAGTCTTTAAGTTTACAAGGCCTTGAAAAATTTAATTGGGAGAAAGTTTTATTCAACTTAATAGGAATACCTTTCTGAGTTTCTATAGGATTTCATAGTTTAAGTGGAAAAAATGTTCTGAAACATAAGGGGCATAATCCAGTAATTCTAAGTGCTTATGTATATTAATATGTTTGATAGGTTTTTCCTTTTATTTGAATATAATAAGATATATTTGTTTAAGGGTTACCATCATTTATGGTAAAAATTTAAAGTTAGGATTATTTTGTCAACGAAATGTTGGGCCAGTAAAACCTTTCACTCTACAGATTTATATAACATGGATAGTATTGGATATTATATAGGCCAACACAGTTCTTCAGATTAAAAAAAAATTCTTTAAGGAAAACCTCTGTATAAACTGGTAATAAGTAAATTCATGTCTGTGACTAATGGTAATCAGAGATGTACCATTATATAATGTCAAAACAAAGTATGTTCTTACAGTATGACAGTATTGCTTTCTTCAATTATTATTATTAAACATTTTAATTAAATTACAGTGTTCATAATTAATAACATTATAATGGTATAACATTATAACATAAATTAATAGCATTAAGTCTGTAATATCAAATCCTCTTGACCTTGCTCCTGCCTCATTATTTTGAAACCCCTTTCTAACTTCTACTATTGAGTGGAATTAAGAGTGGATAGGTATATACATTTAAAAGGGGAAAAGAAATAAGCAGGGATTATATAAATGGCCTCTGTGGAAAGGATGCAGCAATTCAATCCTGCCAAGAAGAGATGTTAGGTGAATGTAAGAATGCAGTATTTTTAAACAGATTCAGTAACATGATGCATACACATTAGAGCAGATGGCCACCATAGAAACCAGGTTCTGCAAGGAACAGGTACATACATCATCATGGGTGCTTTTGAATAATTTTCAGAAGTAATGGATTACATATTTTGTGAAGCTAACACCTGAGAATGAAGCTTTATGTGTTGGTCTAAATGAAGTGTTGACAAGTACATTTTCTAAAGTGCATTCTTTAGAAATCTGATGGCCAAGAAATAGTTGGCTGGTTGAGAAATCTGGATATCTTCCTTGCTTTTATATGCTTCCATGATATTGCTGACAGAACCATGAGTAACTAAACAACAAAGGAAGAACTTACCCATTGGTGTGGGAGAAAATTCAACAGAAGAAAAATCACCCAGATATAATTCCAGCTGTCAAACAGACAACCATCATAACAATATAACCAAAGATAATGGAAACATTAAAAATGGAACTGAAAATAGAAAATCAGTTATGGTCCTGTAGGCTCCAGTAGAAGAAGTGGGCAACATAATATATTGAATGAAGGATACAGAGAATTGGCAATCAGCTTCAAATTGATGGAGTGAGAAAATGTAAAGGTCAAAATATAAAGGAAGAATGTCTTGAAGATCTCATTGTAACATTGCCACTTACTCTTCTGCCTTCAAACCTTTCTTGTAACACAATGTATTATAGGGATTAATACATCCTTGAGACATTGATAATTTATACCCTGTCAAAAAAGGAATTGTATGGAAAGATGCCCAATATATCTGTTGCTTTAGTCTAATCTTTTAAAAGCAGAAGCGAAGCCAAATACAATTGATTGAAGACAGATAATGAACAAATTTCTCTAATTTGAATGTTAGAAATTTATGATGTGCATTAATACATTACGCTCATGGTCTGCAGTATTGTTCATTTTTCACCTACATGCCTTGCTCTGTATGCATTTTGAGGAGGAAGATGTTCCCAGATACAGAAGCATTTCTGAGCAATTGAACAGTTATAGATTTGTCCTCAAGCATAAAGGAAATCTTCATCCTTCAACTGTTGTTCATGCAATTACTTTAAAAGAAAAATAGTGATTCTCCCTCCCCTCAAAAAAGTACTGGTATTTGGCTATAGTAGCCTTGCAACAGAAGAGAATATCAACCAGCCTTTATATAAGTTTGAGAATGGTAACTGCTTTATTATCATTAAAAAGTTATTAAGTCCTTTTATTTTAGCCTGTCCCAAAACAAATCTGAATTGCTTGAGCATTCTGAAAACTGTGAATGGACACTACAATAATGTTTAAAACCAGTTCAGAAGGATTGATTAGTTTAAAACTTTAGCTAAGATGTATTTTTCCTAAAATATTAAAAACTCTAAAGGGATCTTCACTAATATTGGGAGTATTAGTATAACTATGGAACAGAGATAAAATTTGTACACTTGTCTATAACATATATCAAATATTTTAAAAACTGCATTTCCCTTGTTGTTATGAGGAAAGAATGCTTTGTAGGAAAGCTTATGCTAGCGAAGACTCAAAAACTTTCAGCACTGGGCAGATAGTTGCCAAACATCCTGGAATTAATCTGAAGCTTATTTTTGGTTTTCTATTCTTTTTCTTTCAGAATCAATGCCCTGAGGCAGAACAGCTAGTCTTTAGCCACTTTGTAATCTGTAATGACACACAGGAGACACTGCGGTTTGGCCAGGTAGACACAGATGAAAATGTTTTGCTGGAGAGCCTTCACAGTCACCAATATAGTTGGCGCTCTCACAAGTCCCCACAGGTATGTATGTCATACAAGTGCAATAGTTGCAACGGTTGTTAAAAATGGAAAGTGTTGAAATAATTGAATTTCAGTTTTTGGAGGGGGGGGGGGAATTCATGCATTCTCCTATCTTTAGTTTTCCAGATTTCAGCCTAAGATCCATTCTTAAACTACAAGACAGAAGAGATAAACAAAAAGGATGAGCAAACCCAGAAATGTTTATATTTCATTCAGGTTTGGAGCTGTACAACAGTGTTTTTCAATCTTGGCAACTTTAAGATGTGTGGACTTCAACTCCCAGAATTCCCCAGCTAGCATTCTGTGAGTCAAAGTCCACACATTTTAACGTTGCCAAGACTGAGAAACAGTGCTCTGCACTCACACACGGTCCAATTAAAAAAAAAAAAGGACTTCAGGCTTCTGTATGAAAGCACATAAACAATTCATTGGGCTTGAGAGAAAGCAAACATCTTCAGCTTTTGGGATGTTAATCCTAACAATGTGAGCACAAATCTTCTGTTGACAAAAGACAATACAATTGACAGTAGTCAATAAAGACAATTTGAAAATGACAGTCCAAAAGCTGAGCAATGAACCAGAAATAGGGATCTTGGAGATGGATATCCTTGATAATAACCACCATAGCATACCCAAGCATATTGAGGGAATTCATAAATATCCATATTCCTCAACATCTAATTGTGATGAGAAATTTTCCTCTCTATCTACGTATATATGCTTAAACTGCATAAGCTTTCACGGAGTTGGGGTACATGCATAGTGCATGTATGCACAGAACTGCAGTGAAGAACCTTGTGTTGGTTCAATAGAGCAAACAACTTCGTGTTTTTCATAATCAGTTTCTTCATAAAAGCTTCTTAGATTTTACAGTAAGAAGAGATTCTAATGATAGTAAAAAGAGATTCTAAAAAAAAATCAAACATTTCTAGTATTTATTTTTATGTATATGCTTTAGGCAAAAATACCAAACAGATACATAGGAAGATCACTGCAGTGTGCTGTTTGCTGTTGAACATAAGCAAGAAAGGGATTCGGCTGTGGAAAATTAGATTATGAGTATAACATTTTGAGATCATAGCTGGCAACAGCAGCCTGGTGACTGAAGGACAATTTCTTATATTGCTTGACCGCTGCTGATCATGCAGATTTTCCAGAATAATCTGGGCTGGGCACTCTTGAAAGAAGTCTTGGTAGTGCCACATATTGTACACAGTCATCACTTGTACTTGGGAAAAAAATAGTGAGAAAATAAGATAATTTGGGGAGAACCATTATTTGTTTGTTTTTTCCTCTTCCTTAGTAGGAAAATGTCTTCCTTAGCAAGAAGAAATGTAGCATATCATGGAGAAAATGTTTTCTGTGATCTGTAAATTGAATGCAGGTTAATTGAACGGCTATCAATCACAGGAACCTGCACTTAGTATATATTTACTGTGGAATAACCACGCTGAGTTCACTCATTAACTTTTTAAAAAGCAAAAGGAGAGGAACTTTGACATTTACTCTGCTGTAGATTATCCATTATAGAAAGCAATTTAAGGTCCTGGGGATGGGATTGGCAAGTTATGACCAGTATAATTGATAACTCTCTATTTTTCCTCTATGCTTTTTGCTTCTGTGGAAGCAATGTTTTCACATTAATCTTTTCCCTTTGAAATAGCATAGTTTTTATAGCTGTTTCTGTCTCTTTTTAAACTGCAGTAAAACAGAGCCAATCATGATCAGGAGTTTTTAACCCTTTTATCTCAATGTAGTGAGCATCATACCTTTTCCACTTGTCTTTCTGCCAACATTTAGAACTTCAGGAAGTAAGATTGCCCAGCTAACTGCAGAATGTTATTTGGCTTGTTAAAAAAACCTGGAAGGGCAGTTGAATTCTTCCACAAGCAATGAAATATAGACATCCCTGATTGGGCATTGTTAAAGCATCCTTGTCTGGAAGTATCACTGAGTATTCAGAGATTACTGCATATTATTTTAGAATTTTGTTACTTTTATTCTCTGTGTGCCTATGAGATGCCCACTCCTCAATAATAAAAGTTAACTGCACAAGCTAGTGATCTAAAATGAAACAATAGAAGATTTCAGAGGCAAAATAGTAACAGAACAGAGGATATTTTAAAATACTTTAAACAAGACCAATTTGTTGAAGTTTCTTGCTAAAGAAATAACATAATTGGAGGGGAGAAACTGTACTGTTTTCCTGAGTTTTCCAGAGGGCATTCATAACTTTGGAATAGATTCTCCTCTTCCTGCAGCTACACTTACCTTTCTCTTCTAGGCAAAGTGAACAGGGACAGAGGGGGAGGGATCCAGCTGGAAATGGTAAGAGCCCCTTACATAACTTCTTTCTGGGGAGCATTTCTTCCTTGGGATACTCCCATGGACTCCTTCCTAGCACACATTTGGTTGAGGCCACAAGGAAAGAAAAGCAAAACAGCAATGAAGCATTCTCTGTCATCAATAGCACTACAACCTTGGCTGTCTGAAACCCAAGATTCTGGTCATTATTAAATTAATGAGCTTTGTAATATTCCATGTTATTATTGTTCTATTGATATTTTATTACTTCTCCCTTGACATCAAAATTGAGAAGTGGAAGTGATCCACTGGGAAAAGTAGGAATTTGGTTCAATACAGTCCTCTCTTTTCTTCTAAGCTACCCCTGCATCATGTAATTTGTGTGGGTATTTTGAAAAGGTAGTTTGTAAAAATAGCTTGTTACCTGAGGGAGCAGAAGAGCAAAGTTCTTGTTTTAATCTTTAATCTGTCTTAATTTTTCAATGGTATTTGCTTGTAAGTATGCAGAATTAATACAAATTCATTAGGACTTCAATGTGGGCATATTATGTTGTGGTATGTTCCAAACTCGTTTGCTGCTGGACTTTTTTTTGAGGAACTTATTATCTAGAGGTCAGAATAGTGCCCAACTGTGGACAAACCATGCAAGTGTCAGTTTAATGGAATGTGAGATGACTTCATCGTTTTGAAGCTATTTCATTCCTCATGATAATTCTCATCTTGCCAAGTTAGTGAATTTTAAGAACTCTGGGAGCAGATTTTAAGATAAATGTGAAATATGAAATAATCCATATTTTGGAGTCAGAAACTTTCCTCTAGGCATTAGTTCATATTTGACTTGTTCAACTCACACTTGGGAATAAAATGAGTTAGGATCAGGTCTCAAATACCACACTCCCTTATTGGGAAGGAAAACCTGTGTCTCGTGTTTCTTGTTACAGAGGCACTAAGCAGCAGCAATTGCCATAAAATATTTTATTTAACCTTTGCAAAAATGTTTTTTTAAGTATGGCAAAGCAGTTCTTTCAATGAAAATGAATAGTTTTCAAAGAGTTGGATTTCATTAGCATTTGCATCATTTAGAGACTTAATTGTTATTTTGCTGATTATAGTTGAGAAGAAGTATTGTAATTGCCCATTTAAAGTACATAATAAAAATAAATAAAAAGAGGCTTAAAATTCCTTTGGTTTTGCCTCAGTGGTATATAGCTAAAACCTCAAGACATATTTGTTTCAGATGTAAATTTGGTAAAAGAATCAAATTATGGGATTTGGAAGTAAACCCTTTATTTAATAGCTACTTAAAAACAGCAATAAATAGAAGATAGAATTTTAGATTCCCATATTTTGGAAAACAACTGCACATCTTATTGAATACATATGGTTAAAAAGATAATTCTCCGAATTATTGTTTTCCCTTTATTTTTAT